TTTATTTTGTTTGCCAGTCAAGCAGTGCAGTGCAGGTGGTTGGATGCATGTTGTGATGGTAAAGTTGTTTTAATTTACAAACAAACAGCAAATGTATTCAAATGTATAGAATTGAAAAACAAAATCAACTCTTAAGCTTCTCATTATGCTTTCAATCATCTGCTAGTAATTTATTTACATAAAGTTGTTGTAAATAATAAACTCAACGTTCAAAACATTTCAGGGTAAAACAGAAAGAAATGAAAAAGTCCCCAGATGATCAGCTCATCTCCAGTTTCATGATTAAAAACACTGAGTTTAAAAATATTTTAAAAATTGCCAAACCTGCAAACTATCAACCATAAAACCAATCAATCATCTGATCAATAAGGATGAATTTGTTCTTCATGCTGAGATCATCAGAGCTGCTGTTTGATCACTGAGATCTTCATCGGTTGGATTTGTAAGGTTTTATTAGAGCAGAAGTATGGAACCATCTTGCCAGTGAAGGTGTGTGTGAAGGTGTGTATGTGTGTGTTAGTATCCAGATCATTGAAGGACAGCTTTCCTCTGTCCCAGTCCAGATTCACTCTGATCCTCTGGACTTTATTCTGGTCTGGGAGCTCAGTGAGAGGAGCTGACGGAGAATGTGTGTAGTATTTACGTCCATAGAATACTACATACAACAATCCAGACTCTATGCTTCCCTTCCTCTCTACAAACTCTTCTATCACACCAAGTCTCCAATATTCACTGTCTCCAACATCAACATCCCAGCTCTGGTTCCCTGAGTTAAAACCTTCAGAACTCAGAACAGAAAACAACCAATCAATCCTCTCTGGATTATCAGGAAGCTGCTGTTTCTCTCCTCCAGTCAAACTGGTCAGATCTTCAGACAGATGGAGTTCTTTACCAGCCGTGTTTGGGTCCAGAACCAGAGGAGTGTAGGTCACCATGGTCTCCATGTTGCTCCAGATGTTGAAGGCCAGGTTGCCCAGATGTTTGGCCTGGTCTATCAGAGCTCCTGAGGGCAGCTGTGGATCCTCCAGCAGGGGGCAGCGCTGGACTCTTTCCACTGCAGCCTTGTAGTTGTGCAGGAATGAGACGTCTGCAGCTCTCAGCTCCTCCTCTGTGGCTCTGACTGAGTCTGATAGGGCTGCTATCTCTCTGCTCAGAGCCTCCATCTTCTCCTTCATCATCCCTCTCTTCTGCTTCGCTTCCTCCCTCAGTGCAGCCAGCCTGGCCTCCTCTTCCTCTGCTAGAAACTGATGAAGCTTCTTAAACTGCTCAACAATCTGCCTCTTTGTGTGTCGGGCCTGGACCTTCAGGTGTTCTGCTGTCTGATCAAACTTATTTTTAACTTTCTTCCTGAGCTCCAGCTTCTTCTTTAAAGGCTCCAGAGTTTCCTGAAGTTTCTTCCTGTGTTGCCGAGCAGCTTCATCGATGGGTCTGAATCTGTGCTTGGTGTGTTTTTCCGAATCTCTGCAGACAACACACAATGGCTGCTGATGGTCCAGACAGAAGAGTTTGAGTTTCTCAGAGTGCAGAGAGCAGAGACCCTCTGAAGCATTTTGGTTTCTCTGCTGTAACAAAGACTCACACAGATTCTTCAGAGCCAGATTATAAAGTGGTTCATCTCTTGATCTCCTCTTACAAATTGGACACTCTCTTTCTGGTTTCTCTCTCCACCAGTCCTTCAGACATTCCTTACAGAAGCTGTGGCTGCATGACAGAAGAACCGGATCCTTAAAGATGTCCTGACAGATCGGACAGCAGAGATTCTCCTCTGATCTGGAAGCCATTTTGTCTCTGAGTGAAGGTGAAAACACAGCAGTCAGAAAGTTAAACCAGGAAGTCAGTTTCCCTCCTCAAGAAACTATTCTCTTACTTGAACTGTGGTTTCCACATTTTTCCTTCTCCAGCAGTCTGTGTTTCAGCGTCTGGTTCCTCA